TCTCTCTCTCTCTCTCTCTCTCTCTCTCTCTCTCCTTCCTCCCTCCCTCCTTCCCTTCCTCCCTTCTTTCCTTCCTTCCTCCCTCCCCCCCTCTTTCTCTCTCTCTTCTTTCTCTCTCTCTTCTTTCTTTCTTTCTTTCTTTCTTTCTTTCTTTCTTTCTTTCTTTCTTTCTTTCTTTCTTTCTTTCTTTCTTTCTTTCTTTCTTTCTTTTTTTTCATTCAAGGACATACTGAGAAAGGGGGTAGGGAGAAAGACAGACAGAGAGAGAGAAACATTGGTTGCCTTCCATACACACCTCCATGGGGGATTGAACCTGCAACCCAGGTATGTGCCCTGAACAGGAATTGAACTGGCAACCTATTGGTGTGCCCAGGCCAGTCCTTAGCCAACTGAGCCACTCTGGCCAAGTGCACATTTTCTTATAGGCTTGGTGTCCCAGTCACCTCAGGCTGCGACAAGACATCATAGGCTGGGTGGCTCTACCAAAAACACTTATTTCTCACATTCTGCAGGCTGGAAGTCAGATCAGAGTGCCAGCACGGTTGGGCTCTGGTGAGGCCCCTCTTCATGCATGCAACATGTCATACACATAGGGTTTACAGACAGCTGCCTTCTTGTATCCCCACATGGCAGAGAGAGATCATTTCTCTTGTTTCTTTTTATAAGTGCACTAATCCTACCACTAGGGCTCCACCCTCATGACCTAACTATCACTCAGAGGCCCCACCTCTGAATATCATCATGCTGAGCATTAGGGCTTCAATATAGGAATTTGGAGGGGACATAAAAATTCAGTCCATAGCAGCTGGAGTGTTAACTCATTATGCATTTCCCCTCGGCGTTATTCTAATGATTGCTGTAAGCAAGTGAGTCACATGCAACATGTCATACACATAGGGTTTAAGGCAATACTTTTATTTCTTTTTTAAGAATATAAGTAAAAATAAAACAAATACAAATGCTCAGCACATTTGCTGAACTCTTAGCAAAATCAAATTCCTGATAATTTGTTAATAACATCATTTCATTTTAAGCCAGTCCTACGTAATCCCCCCTTCTGCAAACTTGCTTGTGAACTCCTATACATCTTACAAATCCCAGTTTCTATATGACCACCTCTGTGCTACTTCTGAACATTGAACATGTCTCTAGATGGAATATATCTCATGGACTAGTAATTATTTGTTGCATATCCACTGCCTTTGTTAGGATGTGAGTTTTGTGGTTTTGTGAGAGTGGGGTTCATAACCTATGTATCACTATACCCTTGGACACAGAAGATGTGATGTGCAGAATTCTAGGATCGCCCCTGAGATTCCTACCCTCTACCCCCTGCCCTACATACACTCCTTATAAAATTCCTTCTTCTTGAGTGTGGATGAGATCTGTGAGTACGACTGATGTCACTCCCCTGAAAGTTTATATTATGTGGCTAAGGTAAGGGGTTATGCAGATGTAATTAAGGTCTCAAATGAGTTCATGAAAAGGGAGATTATACTGAGGAGGCCTGTCTTAATTAGGTGAAAGACTTTGAATAAGGACTGGGCCCTTCCTGAAGGAAGAGCTTCTCCTGCTAACTTAGGAGAAACAGGCAGAACATTGACCCAAATGGTAAGGATCTGCGGGTGGCCTCTAGGAGTTGAGAGCAGTTCATGGCCAACAACTTTGCAAAAATTGGGAGCTCAGCCATACAGCTACAAGGAAGTGAATTCTGCCTACAACCCAAAGACACTTGGAAGTGGATTCTTCCCCAGTCAAGCCTCCGGATGGGAATGTAGCCCCGCTGACACCTTAATTGCAACCTTATGAGCCTGAGCAGAGAGCCAGGTCAGCCATGCTGGACTCCTGACCCGTAGGAGCTATGGGATAGGAAATGTATGTTGTTCGAAGCCACTGAAGTTGTGGAGATTTTTACGCAACAATAGAAACGAACGCAGCAGACATTTCTTAAATCTTTGTTGAATTTAATCAGGGAAATAGAATATTTATAATGAATCTTTAATAAAGTTCTGGCCAATTTGAAGAATGTAGACATCTTAAAGATTTGCTCTCTTCCCTTGAGTCTCCTTCCCATTCTGTCAACTTGCAGGGTTTCCATAAATACCAGCTTCTGATTGTCTGGATAGGAAGCGGGATTCTCTCCAGCCATCATTCGGTGTTCTGGGGAGATAGAATGGATAAAAATTGCTGTTGAAATGAGACCACCATCATTTTTCAGTCTGCTCCCTGTGTACAGAGCTCAGGATGATTAGAAAATGTAAAACACATGTGAATGGCTCAGGCCCTTTCGTTAAATCACATTTACATAGATCAGTTTTCCCAGAGGACAGAAGTTAGCTGAACTTCAGCAATTAAAAAAAAACACACAAACCAAAAGCACAAAACTAGAACCTTTTGCCGAAGCCACAAAACATGGATGAGTTAAGCCATATCAGATGTAATGGTTTGTTCCGAGAAGTGTTTGGTCTGCTGTCTACATGTGTGCGTGGTTTGTAAAGGCAGATAGAAACGCAGAACTTGCGAGGTCTTTAGCCACTGAGATAGAAACCCAGTGCACAGGGTCCAGTTCCAGCAAAGAAGTCCATACCATCAGGATCACAGGTGACCCAGGCCAGGGTCATGCCAGTGACTCCCCATGACATCCCACAGCCACCTCAGGGGCTGTGGCAACAGGGGGACTGTGAGAGTGGCTGAAAACAAAATTGGACCCAACCTTGGCCTTGGTGTTCTAGCCCAGGCCAGTTTCCAGGACCTTGACCTATCCCCTCAGGGGGCACCTCCTTGCTGTTCTGCCATGTGGGGAGTAAGAACAACCTTTTGGTCCCGGAGCCTCTCGCCTCCCACCGCCAGCATTTTCAATTCCATTTGCCCTTGGCTAAGCGTAGCTTCCTGTTTCTAAGAAAAGATGCCGAAGGGGCCTTTTGAAGGCCTCACAGACAGTCTCGGAAGGCTTCTTGCGCAGCAAACAACTCTTAGCAAACAACAGTTTGATGAGTTAAGTGTAAACAGATCAGAGACATATGGATCACATTTTTGGGGAAATACACATGGGCTTACGATGTAAAGCGGGGCAGTGGGGGCGGGGCGGGGCGGGGTGGAGAAGGGAAGGGTTGGAAAAATGTGGTTTGGGTCTTGCCAATTGCAAAATGTTAGAAACAAATAATCTGAGATGTTTTGCCCAACCTGGAGCACGGCTGGATTCACCCTTTCCTTCTATTTATGTGTCATTTTCAGACTCCACACACATGCCTGTGCTGGTTTGGGTCTCGGGTAGATGTTTAAAAATGTAGTTACTTTGAAAGATCCTGGCATGTGATTTCTGTGTTGCCTCTGAGTGTGAAGGGTGGGGTGGTGTTAGGGGAGGGACGGGCATTTAGAAACATCTCTCTGCCTCTAAGCCAAACTCCTCAGCGCCTCTAGAATGTTCATTCCATTTGTGGAGGCTCCAAATCCAGGCTGTGCTAGTGAGATGTGTCAGCTTGAGAAACTCACTTAACCTCAGTCTCCTCACCTGTAAAATGGGGACAGTACCTACCCGAGGCTCACAGGGATA